ATTAACAAGTTAACAAAGAAAGTTAACAAGTTATCTGTGTAACTTAACAATCTAACTGCGAAAGTTAACATGTTACATGTGTAACTTAACAAATTAACAAAGAAAGTTAACAAGTTATATGTGTAACTTAACAATCTAACTGCGAAAGTTAACATGTTACATGTGTAACTTAACAATCTACCTGCGAAAGTTAACATGTTATCTGTGTAATTTAACAGCTACTAAGAAAAGTTAACATGTTACCTATGTAACTTAACAATCTAACAAAGTAACTTAACAAGCTAACAAAAGCATTTCAATAACTAATGATATATACAAGTATTTCAATAGTTAATAGGACAAATTTGTGCATCAATTTTATATCATATTTGCATTATAGTTCACATCACTACAAAAGTATTTCAGTTCATATATACAGCTACTACATACATACAAAAGTATTTAGCTATTACATACACCCAAAAGTATTTCAGTTCATACATACAAAAGTGTTTCACATTCGCAACTCATATCAATCGGCGATTGGTTCGTTGCAAGTTGCTCGGTTGTGGCGATCGGTTCGTTACAAAAGTGTTTCACATCCACCTCCACTGCCATCGCTCTTCCCTTTGCCCCTCCTCATCCCTCCAACTATCCTGCTCCAGCGACGAGCCCCACCCTCTACTGTCGATCGCCGGCCATCTCCAAGTCTGATATACCATCTGACACAGATCCGAAACCCAATAACCCGATAAGCCTCGTCTACCGTCCTTTGACTTCATCCTCATCGCCATTTTCTTCATTGAGTTGGATAGTAGATAAATTCACTCGCCATATAGCTAATCGTCTGCAAGTGTAAACAGAGTGTCAGAGACGCACATGATTTACTCGGGAAATATTACATTATCAAAACAAGTCACAATACATGTTCAAACTCCATATTACAGCAAAAAATTGAGTTTTTTGAGCCATTTCATCAAACATATAGCCACCCATACTCATATTTACACCCCCTCATTGAAACTCATTGATTCAGGCAAGCCGCCAACAAACCCATTTCCAGAAAAAATCAACCTTCGCAGGAACTTCAACCCCTCGATCGAATTAGAAACGAACCCATCGAACCCATTTGAGGAAACATCCAAGACCCTCACCCACTTCATCTCCCCGATCCAACCCATTTGAGGGCGAGGACTTTGCGGCCAAGGAAGGGGGAGTCGGAGCAGCAGATGAGGTGTAGGGGGTGCTGCTCCATGCGACGGGACGTCAGGATCGGACGGTCGAAGAGGTTCACGCGGCCATCGGCTGAGATGAGGCTGATGGTGGCGGGGGCGGGGAAGGATGCCCAAAAGGATCCGACGCGGTTGGGTTCGCTGGTGGGGAGGCGGTCGGATAAGTGGGCCCCGTAGTGGACGAGGGCACGGTGGGCGAGGGAACGGTCGGAGATGAAGATGGTGGACCGGGAGGTGATGCGGAGAGTGAGGATTGAGTTGTGGTCTCTAGGAAAAAAGGATTGGCAGAGAAGGAGAAGAAGAAGAAGAAGAAGAAGAAGAGGGGAGGGGTAGTTTGGGTTTTTTGGTTTTTTTTCTTGGGAAATGTAAACATGAGCTGGAAACACATCTTGGGAAGTATAATGGGGCTAATACACATTAGGAATAATACATGGGGCTTGGGCATATCACATTTTGTTTTTTGGGGCCTTGAAGCAATTTTCCCTAATAACAAAGCACTATGAAATTCTAAAATTTTAAAACTTGCGAACAACAAAGACGAATTCAAGGAATTACTATCACACACTAAAAAACTAAAATTTATAAAAAATAAACCTCAAAGTTATAAATATTTTGAAAAACTCCTTCGAAAATTAAAAAACACAGAAAACCCTAAAATTTAATAACTTATAACCAATACATATCAAATCTCAAAATTATCAGCAAACCACTAAAAATTTAAATTTTGCAAAAAGCAACATAAACTCTCAGTGTAGCGGCTGCCAAGTACTTAAGGGTGTCTAGTCAGCTTGCTGTTTGCAGGCGAATCCAGCTCTTCACTCGTGCAGGCGAGGTGAACTTCAATCGTGAGCGTGCAGGCGGATTTGGTGACTGCACGAACTTAACTGGTTGCTCGTACTACGAGCGGCTACTCGATGGGTTGGAGTACTGTGCCCCTTCCCTTCACGTCGTGGGAAGTGGGAAAGCCCATCCCTATCCGCGGCGTAGAGGCCGTCGAGTACGAATTCGGCTCCCGATTCGTGTAAGCAGGTGAATTTGGATGATCTTGACTCGTGCGGGCGAGTTGATCATGCTGGCGAATCTGAATGACCCTGACTCATACTGGCGAGTTGGTCATGCAGGCGATTTTGAATGACCTTGACTCATGCGGGCGAGTCAGTCATGCAGGTGAATCCTTGATTAACAATTGCGGACGAATTCGGGGTTCGTGCGGTTTGGGTTTGTGCTTGCGAGTCTAAACCCGTAGACGAGCCCCGTCCTTAATTTGAGTGGGCGACCCTATCTCGCGGGTGAATTCATGTACAAGTTTGCGAAGGTAATTTTTACTGTCTACAGGCTCCGTGGTGGATGACGACACGGTGGGCGAGGGAGCGGTCGGAGATAAAGATGGTGGACCGGGAGGTGATGCGGAGAGTGAGGATTGAGTTGTGGTCTCTAGGGAAAAAAGGATTGGCAGATAAGGAGAAGAAGAAGAAGAAGAAGAGGGGAGGGGTAGTTTGGGTTTTTTTGGTTTTTTTTCTTGGGAAATGTAAACATGAGCTGGAACACATCTTGGGAAGTATAATGGGGCTAATACACATTAGGAATAATACATGTGGCTTGGGCATATCATATTTTGTTTTTTGGGGCCTTGAAGCAATTTTCCTTATTTTTTAGAAAATTATATTTTATGAAGTTAATATATATTAAAAAAAAAATTATTTTAGGAAAATATAATATTTTGAAAAATAGAATATTATTTTTAAAATATTATAATATTTTAAAATTATTTTAATGAAAAATAATTTATTTTTAAAAAATAATATATTTTAAAAAAAAGTAACTATAATATTTTAGATAAAAATAAATATATCCACTTAAAAAAATATTATAATATATTATGTAAAATATATACTATTAATGAAAAATATATTATTTTAAGAAAATATATTATTTTTAAAAAATAATATTTTTCAAAAATGATTTTTTAAAAATTAATAATTTTGAAAAATATTATTTTATAAAAAAATATATTTTATGAAAAATAATATTTTTTAAAGAATAATATTTTTATTTATTTTTGAATAGTAATATTTTTTTTTCAAATAATTATATTTTGAAAAACTATTATTTTTAAAAAATTATCTTATAAAAATATTTTTCAAATATTACTTTCCCAAAAAAATATTTTTTTGGAGAAATATTTTTGAATAACTTTATTTTTTTAACTTTGAATAACTTTATTTTTTTAAAACTTTATTCAATAAATTATTATGATAATAATTTTTTAAAAGATTATTTTTATTCTTTAATGAATTTCTTTTTTTGAAATATTAAGTAATGATTTTGATTTTTAATAAATTTGGGTTAGTTGCAACTAAGTTGCAACTGAGACTTGCAGCTGTTTTCAACGTAAGTCATATGTTGTAGCTAAGTGTTGTTTTGCAATTGTGATTATGAAATTTTTTTTGATTTAAACCCAATCTAATTTAAAAAAAAACCGACC